ATAGAATGGTGGGAAGAGGTCTTGCACCCGCAGGACGAGGATGGCTTCAAACGTCTCAAATCAGCACTTCCTCAGTTGAAATGGACTACCGGAGAGGTACGTACCAACCCAACCATTTCAAGAACCGCTCTGAACGCAAGTTGCCTTAGCACGAATACACCCGGTACGGCTTCCGAAAACTCATCGAAACGCGCTCTGTGGACATTCTGCAGCCTGATGTCACATGGGTCGGCGGGCTCACAGAGCTCTTGAAGATAAGCGCCCATGCAGCCGCATACGACATTCCGGTCGTCCCGCATGCGTCGAGTTGTTACAGCTACCATTTCGCCATGAGTCAGACAAACACGCCGTTCGCCGAGGTCTGTATCATAGATGCTCTGAAAAGCTTCAGTGTTGATGTGATACTCGTAGATCGTCTGCAACGCACCTGACGGAAAGTCCGTCCAGCCGAGCTTCGGAAAGCTCTTTCTGAATGAGCCATTGCCGGTCAATGGACGTATCGAAGCAGGAGCACTTGATGCGCCGGGATTTGGATTGTTGTTGAATCCCAACGTGAGATTGCTTGACGCAGAGAAGGTCTTGACGGTCGGGATAGAGCGACCCCTCGTTCAAAACGACCCCAAAGGCCATGCAAAAAAAGACAGGGGAAAAGAAAATATGACTCGTGGAGCATCTGAAGAACAATCGTAAGTGTGACGTCCCTTTGTGCTGGCTAACTTGCCTAGTAAGGATAAGCGGGGGCCAAAGGGAGACCGAAGGCATTGTCGCATTGCCGCGAGATAAGCAGAGGACGCGCCATACGGACTAAATGGAAAGGAATGTATTAACATACATAGTATACTATAACAGAGTGTCTAAGGGGTGAATTCCTCTAGGAACGGAAAGACATGGACCACTTTTCAAGCAAGCTATCCAGTCTCTTCGCAATTTTCTGTCCGTGGTCCTTGGCAACAATTTGGCGGAGTTTCTTGATGACCGGAATGACGCCAGGAAGCTGATAGAAAATCAGAGCTGCGCAAAACGCAGCGAATTATACAGGGCTGACCTCAGCGGACATGAATATCTGGTCGGACTCGATTACTTCAGCGTAGATCTTTTCAGCGACTTCTATCTTTTCAATTTCATCGACGATGTAGTTTCGAGTTTCCTGATGTGGCAATATCGTGAACACATGTACGTAAATGTAGTGGAACAATTCAACTTACAAATCGCTTTTGCTCGACATCCTCTTCTTCGGAATTGTCAAGAGTTTCGCGAACTTCCATGAGATGACCCAATCTCACTGACGCCTGGACGATATCAAGGCCTTCGAATACGTCAGTGCCAAGTAGGATGTATGAGTAAACGACGCACCACTTCGTACGAGCACCATTTGCTTGCACATAGCATCTGACAGCACTTGCGCCATCCCCGGTGGTTCGACTTTTGGGCACATAACCAACGACATAGATAGCGCGTTGATGATGATTTCTTGGGTAGTCTGGAAAACCGCGGGTTGACAGCTGACAGAATTGTATCTGAGGTCCATGGCCGAGAGAAATAGCGAGTATCCGTAGATCAGGAGACAGTCATCGGCCAACGGTTCGAAGTAGGACGTGTATCTTGAAGGACGGTGAAGCCTCAAGCCGAACAACCGCAGGCGTTGCAGCTGCTTTGCAATTGGCGGAAAGATGCTGCGAAGGAGTTAGTATTATTAAAAGTCACGGCTGGGTAGAAAGCACCTCGAAATATCCTCCGCTGGCGAGACTTGGAAGGCTCTTTTGGTCAACTCCAGTGTTATCGCTCGGAAATTGTAAGATACTCTGCACAACGTGGGCAAGGCGTTCATCTCCCATTCCACGTCTCCAGGATAGATGCATATGGCGTGCACACTGTTGGCAATAACCCGCAGGATAATCCTGGATAGAAGCTCGTTGGGAATGGTGCGATGGGAGAGAGATATTACAGCCATGTTGCCAATGGAGCTTCACAAGTTGGGGGGTATTGCTGATGGATGAGGAGCATATTCGGCGCCTCAGACTACTTCTAGTGGACCGCAAGCGCTGAAGGGCAGTGTGTGCTCTGAAGAAACTTTCAAGAATGCGGAGTCACCCGGGCCCGACGCTATGAGCGCCAACTTCATCGCCGATCACAAGCAGGACCAAGCAACACGGCGCCTATTTTGGATCCGCGGCGATACAATGGAGTACGAATCTGTACGATGGCCAGTGGTTCAGCCATTTGAAACATGTGTACTCTCTCTATGTGCATACGAAAATGGGCTAACATACTACTTATGCATACTTACATGTACAGCGCCGAACGTTAAAAAATCTTCTACGCTGGTACATTGTTTATGCCAGGTTCCGTGTTACACATCAGCCAGGAATGGATAGGTGTGTTCTCGGGAGCAATGCTGAGATGTTGGCTGAACTTTGAGTGACAAGGAAGTATCGATATCCATACAAAGAACGCTATCACACTCATCACGAAGGTTCCTCTGACATACGTGCCACCAGACTGCATCAGGGTCCAACGCCCGCCTCCCGTTATAGCAGTAACGACAAGCCGTGAGACCAACAATGCAACTCCTTCTCAGGCCTTGTCTCCCTCCCTAATACTCACCTCAAACCACCACCAGAACGCAGTATGGCACCCAGAAAACCATCCTTGTGTACTTCACCCACTCCTCGTCCCACGAAGCCCAAGCGGCGCTCGTGCACGAGTTCAATCATCCGCAGGGGCGCGTCGATAAGGAAAGCCAGAATCGGTTTGATCTGGCCAATGTGAATGCACTGGGGTTGCCAGTGGAGGATGCTGTCGCCTTGCATTCGCAGAAACATGGCATCGCCGATGTCGCAGATGCCGCCCAGATCCACAGGTCCCTTATCGTCGTGGCGGACGACGGCGTCTCGCCTTCTTCCCATCCACAAACAGTATTGATCATTAAAATACTCGAAGGCGCGGAGGGAAAGAACGTAGGGAGTGGGGCAAGTAATCGATACCAGCCCGTTCGTGTTCTTGCATCAAACGTAGCATCAGTTCTCGCGACGATAGCGAGTGGCGAACACGGGTGGGAGGATTATTGGAGCGTTGCGCAAGCCAACGGTGGGCACTTCCCTGGCGAGTAATATAGCAAGCGTTCTGTTCAAGGTGTGCTTTTGCTACCACTCTGCGCCAGCCGAAAGGAATTGACGTGACGAAAGCGAAAGACAGCAACAGCTTCATCCGCTATGCACTTCGTTCGAGGTTCCTTGAAGAGCAGTTTGGGCTATCTATCAGTTGTAGAAGCCAAAAAATCCCGAGTTATACCCTGTTGCAGGTGTTACGAGACGAGTTGACTCCGGAATGCCAGGGCTCGCGTGTCACTGAGGAAAGAGGCATGAGTACAGCTGGAGAGAACACGTAGGACAAACTCTTTGTAACTCTTGAAGACGGTTTTCTGCAGTATATGATTGGTATATGACAAGTCTATTTCGAGGGTACGTGCCAAGTGAGCGACGAGATATCTAATCTAATCTACGTATCGTGATGGTCGTGAGTCGTGGGGTTACGGTACCGTGCCAGAAGGCCTGTCATGTCGTCGTTCTCGTGAATCTTGCTCCTGCTCGGCCAGCCCTGCTGGCCACCCCAGACTATGACCTTTCCACGATATCCATAGATGAAAGGAGTTGTATAGGTACGTTGATCGTCGTCTGTAGGTTTGTTTGGTGTTCACTCACTGTTCACAGCAATGACCATAGTTTGAATTCGGAAGACCAACTGCTCTGGTCCTTTGGATGACTCGCAAGGTAGCAGTATGTTGAAAGATCCCGGCCTCGTTTCTGCCCCTTTTCCGTATGACACGGACACAACTGGGTGTAACTTCCTCCCCTATTTCCTACCATCTCTCCTCCGACACCAACTACCGATTATCTCCTCGGAATCTCTTACCTCTATAAAGCCATCGTGAACAGAGAACATGCCCCGAAAGCACTCGCCTGACACCATCATGTCTCCTCCATACACGGCTTCACCCCTTTACAAATCCTTCGCGTTCATCCCACCAAATTCTAGCACCAGTCGATCTCCTTGCCCCGCATTGAACGCACTAGCCAATCACGGATACGTGTAAGTTCCTCCCTCATATCCTATCTTATTCGTCGCTAAATGGTATGACAATCAGCGCGCGCAACGGTACAAACATACCATTCTGGACCCTCTTCAGCGCCATCAAACACGTGTACAACCTCTCCTTCTCTCTCGCCCTCCTCCTCACGACCGTCGGCTACCTCACCAGCGGATCAATATCCTTATTCCCCGCGCACGCACCTCACGAAAAGGAGTCCCGCCACAGCCTCTGGAGCACCGTACTATTCCATCTCATCCCCCGTCCAACATGGACCCTCGACTTCGCGTCGCTGTGCACGCAGGGGCCGCTCAAAATAGCACACGACGCCTCCCTCGTGCACTCCGACTACACCGCATCCTGCGCACCAGATCCCAAGCTCCTCACACAGCTCCTGCGTCTCGCGCACCACACCCCTGTCCCTGGTCTACGCACCGCATCACCATCGCGAGACGGCCTGACCCTCGCCGATCTAGGCCGCCTCCACGCCGCACGCGAAGCCGCCCAACCACACACACTCAACGCACTGCACGAGCAGGTCGCGCTGGGCGAGTGTGGCCTCGCGTGGTGCGTCATGCGCGAGCATAGTGCCGACGACTCTAGTAAAGGCGGGGACTCGGAGGGAGGGGTGATTCCGGCCAAGGCGCTGGAGCAGTGGTTTGGGGAGGAAAGGTTGCCGGAGGGATGGTGGGGTGTGAGTGGGGGAAGACCTGTGAGGACGGTGGGACTTAGGGAGGCTGGGAAGCGCGCGAAGGAGGTGGGATTGTACCATATATGCGTGTAGTCTTCTCGAGTCTTTGGATATCTCTTGGGAAGTCGGCGTGCAAGTCCGATCCTTACAGCTGTGGTCATCGATCCTCATAGGAAAACAAAGAATGTTAGATAAGGGAAAAAAACGGGGCTCATCCAGAATTGCCGCGTACCCGGATTGAACGAGTGACCTTCTCATCGCAAGAATGCCCCGGTGGGTTCCAAATACGAGTGAGACGCGCTACCACTACGCCAACGCGGCATTGCTACCCAATTCCCACCTGTTCTCACCATATTCACCGTCAATCAAGTGCTCCGTGGCCGGTGGCCTAGAAAACAAAAATAGAACTTCCGACGCTCCTACATGCAACGCACCCGGACCGAAAAGAAACCTTCTTACAGTAATCTCGATCTACGTGCAAGGTTCACCGCACCAGCGAGACGCGCTACCCCCCACAGAAGCAACGATCCACAGGGCTACGTCCGACCAGACTGTCTAAACTCAACAGAAACCTCAAAAACCAACGCCCCGCATCGATATCGTCATTCAACGTTCACCCTCCCAACCCACTCTAAGTAGGCTCGCCAGCAGCTCCTACTGATACTAATACTAATACTATATACTATAAACGTGTGGTGTGAGTTGCAGGGTCATGATTCATGAAGCGGAGATGTATGTACGTATGAATGTATGGATGTATGAATGTATGGTGAGGGAGTTGTAGATATGGATGGATGGATGGATGTGGGTGAGGTTCGTGGGGATGCATCGATGAATGATGAATGAAGAATGAAGAATGGAGTACGTGTAAGAATGGTGGAATTGCTAGAAAAATGCAGATGCGAAATGCTATGCTCATGAATGGATGTGCAAAAAGAAAGAAAAAATCAACGCGTGCAGAACACCCGCCACCAACATGGCGATCGCATCTACAACGCGAATGCCGATCACCCATACCTCACGCACGAGGCACTCCCATGCACGCACGCCACCCACCACCATGCACCCCCTCACCATGCATAACCCAACCCACAACCCCCCACCTCATATCTTCAACTCCCGAAACCCCCTAACATCAACCCTCCCCGTCCCATTCCTCACCCACTCCCCTCCTTCCCCTCCCTCCCCTCCCTCCTCCCCCCCTTCCTCCCCAACCCCTCCACCCACACCCACACCCACACCCCTACGAAATCGTCCCCCCGGAATAACAATCCTCCCCGCCCCCGCCCCCACACCCAGCGCGGCTCGGGGCTTAGGCAGCCCCAGCGCCTTCCTCTGCCTCCGCGTCATCGGGCGGTCCCTCCCCCCTTGTGCGTGGATCACGGGTAAGACGTGGTTATCTGGCCGCTCGATCTCCGGCTCGGGCGAGGAAGCAGGGGAGAGTGAAGAGGCAGAGGACGAAGGCGGGGATGGGGGCGCGAGTGAGGAGGAGGGTGTAGATGCTGCAGAGGAGGATGAGGCGGCGGAGGACGGCGGGGAGAGACTCGGTGTCCCGTCCGTCATCGAGTCCCTTTCCACGTCCATCCCGGGTGTGTGCGGTGCCTGTGCATAGGAAGGCGCGTGCCGGGACCGCGACCGGGTGGTGCGAGACCGTTTGGAGGAAGACGAGGCGGCGGAACATTCGCTGTCGTCGCCCGTCGTGTCGAGTGCCCGTTTCGGGGACTGTTTGGTACGGGGGTGGAGGTGCGGGAGCGCGGATGAGGAGGCTTGGAAGGGTGGTTCGAGATGCGACGATGGTAATGGTAAGAATGGTGGTTGTGAAGTGGTGGGTGCTGGACCCTGCAATGACGGGACATGCGACGTGCGGAGGGGGTGCGGTGCAGGTGCGGGCCCCTCCGTGGTGATTGTGGGTGCAGGGAACGGCGAGGCCGCACGGCTCGTGGGCAGTGGAATGCCCGCTGGATCCAACACTGCGCTCTCCATCACCACTGTCGGTGTGCTCGTCCCCGAAGGCGAAAGCTTGAGCGTGACCTTCCTCTTTCGCTCCTTCTCCGCAAGCGGCGCCTTTTTCCCCCTTGTAGGGGAAGCTGCAGATACGAGGGCCGCCCCCGGGGGCGGCGGTGTCTCGCGCACGGAGGGGAGCCCCGTGTGCGGTCCGCGAAGGTTACGGATCGAGGAGAAGTGCTCCCAGTCGTGGTAGCTATGAAGGGGGTAACGGAAGGAAGGTCAGGGTCAAGGTTCACTCCGGCTGCGGCGGTACTCACGCGACATATATGGTATCGCCCTCGCCGTCCTCGTTGTGTTTGGGTTCTGTGGGTGGAGGCGACGGAGCACGTTTATGTGTGCCTTTGTCCTTTGTCCCTTTCGTTATCTTGCCCTTCTTCTCCTTGACGCCTCTGACCAGGTTCCGTCTTAATCTGCGGCGGTCACGATCATCTAGGTGAGCGTCGTCCTCGTCCTCAGTGACATTATCATCCTCGCTGTCATCGTCATCGTCGTCATCATCATAATCGTACTCGTCGTACGTTGCATGCGACGAGGAAGTCTTGACGGGTGAGGAAGCGGGGCTGGCAAAGGCGGCCCACTCGATAACGTACACAAGCCCGGGTTGGATGACTTTGACGTTGCGCTTTGTGAGGTGGGCAAAGGCGGAGAGCTCCATGTGGCCGCCGTAAGTGGCTGCGGAGGCGTGTCAGTCACATTCACATTGAAACGCGAAACACTATCACGGGGGCAAAGAGAAGAGGACTGACCGTGCTCGCGCATGCACTGGAGATGCGTCTCGAGCCCCCTCTCATCTTCGACGAATGGTTCATAGCGCTCCCTGTGCTTCTCGATCCAGTCACAGATCTGGCCTCGGAGCTCCATGTGGCGCGATGGCGAACCATAGAGTTGGTCCGAGAGGGCGCGGAAAAGGCAGTTGCCATCGCCGATAGTGTCAGCGGGGTAGAGGCCTAGGGCGCGAAGCTGTGTGGTGAGAAGGGCGGTGGATGCAGCGGGGTCGGTGGAGGTGAGGAGCTACAGAAAGCAGAGGGTCAGCGAGTGGCACAACGGTAGAGGCGTAGGGTTAGGGTTGGAAGGGGAGGGTCACGTAAGGGCAAGGCAAGAGTACGTACCCGGCCTTTGGAAGATCGAGTGGTGCGGGAACGGACTGCAAAAAGATTGGAAAAAAACATGGGTCAATATGGGATGAAAGTATTTGGAATGAATGATATCAGCGGGCCTCGTGGTCTGGCGGTCGTGTGCGCGGCGGGGGGTCAGGTGGAGGGGGTGACTCACGCTGTGGCGGGGGCTTTCCCCTGTTATTCTTCCTAGCCGAGCCCATGTAGTCGAGGGGAGGAGATGGTGGGGATGGTGGAGATGGGGAGGGCTGGCAGATATTGCAACGGGGTGTGTTTGGGGGGGATGATGGATGTTGGTGTTTGAAGGCAACGCGGCTTCGGGGTCTTTGTTTGCCCTGGGGACCCCGGACAGCTATTGTCAATGTTCCTCGGTGGGTCCTGACGTCGACGATGGGTCATTCAAGACGGGATCAACAGCACAGCACCTATGTATATATTCTCGAGCAGCACATCCACCAGCTGCTATCGCTATCGATCGCCGTAATCGAAGCACCTGCCCACCCTGTACATCACCGGGCCGCAGTCACCGCTTGACGTTACAGTCGCAGCACATCCGCAGCTGCCTAAAATACATCTTCAGAGCCATTAGAAAAGACACCTTAGACCCACGACCGGCACAATGATTATCGACTCCAAAGTCCTCATGCACCCTCCGCCCCCCTATGCCTCCTCTGTAGGCCCGCCGCCATTCCCCTCTGTCTCTCGCCCCTCCCACACTTTGACCAGTCTCCCATCTCATCTCCTTCTCCAGATCGTCTACGCTACATTTCCCCAGGCTCCCCTTCCAGACCAAGCCAAAGTCGAGCGCCAACGCAAGAACCTCTACTGGCTGTCTGTCTCCCTCCGCCTCGTAGATCGCACCCTCTACGTCGCCTGCATGCACGTCCTGCGCTCAACACACATCCCCGCATACGACGCCCTCATCCGTCCACCCTACACGTCAGACCCCTTCCCCCTCCTCGCACCCCCCACCGACACCGCCCCGCCCCCTTCCCCGTACGCTTCCCATGCGCCCCCATCCGCCGCGGCCCGGGACATGCAGTCCCCGCTAAACACCCTCCAGCGCGAGACAACCACCCTCGACCGCTTCATTGCCCTTAAAGTCCGCGAGGACGTCTGGGTGGACGAGTCCGAGCTGCACCTCGAGCGCGACGAGGCATACAAAGACTTGTTCGACCTCGCGCAGCCCCGCAGCCGCCTCGAAGACCTCGTTCGCCTGTACGGCGAGCGCGAGGGCGTCGTGCGCATCGGTGCCCCGCCTACCTCTTCCTCGTCCTCCTCCGGCGCAGGTCCCTCAAAACCAACGACGAACGCCACTATCGGGCAATCCGCAGGTACACCCACCACCTCCAAGCCGCGCCTCCACACCTCCCCCTCCACCTCGGGACTCAGCGCCTCCTCATCCTCGTCCTCCTCCCTCCGCACATCCCCTAATACTACCTCTAAACCCCCGTCCCCCGCACCCACCTCCTTCCTCTCGTCCCTATTCTCCAAACCCAAAAAGCCAGCGCCGCAAGACAGCGTCTCTCCGTTCCCCGTTCACCTTGAAACCAAGAAACCAAGAATCACGCCGGTCCCATTCCACCTCCTCTCCGTGTCCTTCTCTCCGCGGCAGGTCGGGCTCGTGCTGCACCCCGCCCGGCGCACGGTCGTGAGCGTGACGAGGACAAGGGAGGAGAAGTTGGAGGTGACGGCGAAGAGGCTGGTGAGGGAGCTGGGGAGGTGGTTGGAGGAGGGGGGGTGACTTAGGGTGGGGGGTGTGTGGGTGAGGGCGGGGGAGGGGTGGGATTCTGAGATGGACTCGCATCGTTGACGTCCCTTTGATCCTTCTTACTACCGGCACGGTATCGCGATGACGATGTATCAAACCCGCCGTCCACCCCCACCCTTCGACCTACTAGCGACGACGCTACGCCCATACCCACCGTATCTGCTGGGTGGCGTATGTGACGTCAACGAGACGTGGTGCACCCGATGACTCCGCGCTCCCCCCCAACTTAACCTGGTCACCCCGCACCCAAAACGAGACCACATTTCCGAGTTTTTATGCATATATCTATATCCTTATCTACACTTGTATCATACCTGCTCCTCGCACATTCTTCCACTCGCTTTCATACGTAATTAGATATCCCTTCCCTTCGCTCGTCTCGTAACACCGCATTCATGGAAATAAAGCTTCGGTTCTGCTCGAATTTGTCCGCTTGGGTAAGGCAAATCCGATCCGCGAGGCTGATGATGCGGCGCATGAGGCAAAAGGACATGCCGCGTTGGCGTAGTGGTAGCGCGTCTCACTTGTACCCCTCCCGTATACGGTTCTGTGATGTACATGAGAAGGTCACTCGTTCAATCCGGGTACGTGGCATTTTTGTTTGTCCCCACCCCACCCTCCCTCCTTCCTGAGTATCGTATCTCACGATCAGCAGTGTCTAGACTTAATTGCCTGCCTTCTGGATGGCTCGTCCCGTCCTCCTTCCTTGCCTTCCCTGTGCTTGCCTTTCTCTTCATACGACACAGGCGTTCCAGAAAACGCCCTCCTTTACCTCCCGGCCCTCCTGCAGATCCCACCACTGGACAACTTCGATTGATTCCTCCAGTCGGCCAGGATGCCTTCTTCTATCGCAGACGAGTAGCATCATCGCTCTGGTTCAACTTCTATGATCAAAGCCTCTGGAATCTATATATGCGAGGCGGAGTCTTTGCGCAACCACGACGAGCCGTACGCCGGGTATTTGTTGGTATAGGCGAAGCTCGGTGACCAATGGAACTTCTGGTCGCAACACACAATTGACGCCAGTGATTCGTGAATAACGGTATTTACCCAAAGATGGTTTGACAGCTTCTGGGCCCAAGACACAATTGACGCCAGTGATCCATGAATAACGGTACTTTCCCAAAGATGGTTTGACACGATCTCCCCGTCAATGGCTTAAGATCTGAACAGCGTCGTCGTTTTTCGTATCTTCTCTTCGCTGCATGGGTCTCTCACTTATCCTGCTCACGGCTTCGATCGTCGTCTTTACCCTCTTGAAGATGAAATTCTCCAGGAAGGGGTTGCCTTTACCCCCAGGACCTCCGGCGGGTATTTGTGGGTATAGGCGAAGCCCGGTGACCAATGGAACTTCTGGTCCCGACATACGATTGACGCCAGTGATTCATGAATAACGGTACTTACCCAAAGATGGTTTGACAGACCGTCACAGGGTGGGCAAGCCCTACGAGGCTTGTCATGAACAATCTCCCTGTCAACGGCTTAAGATCTGAACAGCGTTGTCGTTTTTCGCATCTTCTTTTCGCTGCATGGGTCTCTCAGCTATCCTGCTCGCGGCTGCGATCGTCGTCTTTATCGTATTGAAGAAGACATTCTCCAGGAAGGGGTTGCCCTTACATCCAGGACCTCCGGCGGGTATTTGTGGGTATAGGCGGAGCCCGGTGACCAATGGAACTTCTGGTCCCAACACACAATTGACGCCAGTGATTCATGAATAACGGTACTTACCCAAAGATGGTTTGACAGACGTAGGCAAGCGCTACGACTCGGAGCCTTGTCATAAACAATCTCCGTATCGATAGCTTAAGATCTCAACAGTGTCGTCGTTTTTTGTATCTTCTTTTCGCTGCATGGGTCTCTCAGTTATCCTGCTCGCGGCTTCAATCGTCGTTTTTATCGTCTTGCAGATGAAATTCTCCAGGAAGGGGTTGCCCTTACCTCCAGGACCTCCAGCGGATCCTATTCTAGGACATGTGCGATTACTACCTTCAGCTGGCCAGGACGTTTTCTTCTACAATTTGGGGAAAATTTATGGTGCGACTACTAGGTCCTTCAACTAGTATACATGATGACCTATGTCCATAGGCGATGTACTGCACTTCAGCATTTTTGGACGACCCATGATTGTGTTAAACAGTGTCAACGCAGCCATTGAGCTTTTGGACAAGCGAAGCGCCAACTACAGTGATAGACCCAAATTCCCCATTTACGAAACGTACGTTCTTTAGATGCTCACGAGTTGTTGAACTACCCAATTTGAATCCATGGCTTAGAATGGGCATGCACGATTGCCTGGTCTTCGTGCGATACGGGAACGATTTTCGTATGTATCGTAAAATGTTGCGAGAGTACTTCAGTAAGGAGAAGAGTCGAGCACATCAACGAATACAAGCCAGAGAAGCTCGTATACTTGCGGAGAACGTGTTGGCACAGCCTGAACGTCGAGGGGACTTATTAATCAGGTACCTACACATCTCCTTCCTCGAATACAATCCTATACAATCCTGATTGATGGGTTTTAGATTTGCGACGGCTATTGTCGTCGAAATTGCTTACGGACATCAAATCGTGTCCGATGACGATCCGTATGTCAAAATAGCTGAAGATGTGTGTTTTGCGACTGTAAATTCGGGTCCCCCTGGCGGTACACCTGTCGACATTTTCCCATTCCGTGAGTCGTATCCCTCCTCTTTCCTCTCGCCGAAAAGTTGATGACAGCCGGAACGTGCAGTCCGATATTGTTGGAAACCAGGTGCCGAGGACGAGGTCAGGGTGAGGGGGGGGTTAACAGAATGTATTCCACTACCAGTACCAGTACGTAGTGCGTCGAATATATACGTGAAAAGGAACAGAAATGAGACGGAAAATCGACTACGGCAAGGCGCGGCAAGTCAGTGATCGAGAAAATAAACAAATCTAAATATAGAGTTTTGGGCCTCGGCCGGTCAACTCCAACACTCCCACAGACCGGCGAGACACAAAACAAAAAGCAAAATAAAATGAGAAAATAAACAGAAAGTAAAACTGCTCCCACAGACTTCGAGAGCCGTCAATTTTAGAGGGCGTATGTGACGCGCGATGTCGATGCGACCATAGCCTTGGGTTCCGGCGCGGCAGGGGCCGGTTCCTTGCACTCGCTTTGGTAATGGCCAAGTTCGTTGCATCGGAAGCACCGGATCTTCGATTTGTCGGTGTTTTTGTTGCGTGGGCGCGCATCAGCGTGCAGGGCGCTAGTTTCGATGCCGTGGGTGTGGTTGCCGCAATCGTCGGCAAGGCGAGTTTCTTCATTTAGAACGCGGCCAATGATGAAATCGAGGTCGGTGGATTTTTCGTGTGAGTCGAGTGAGACGATGAGTGAGCTGTAAGCAGGGGGAAGGGATTTGAATAGAACTGCGATGGTGAGGGCGTTCGAGGGGGTTTCGCCAAGGTGATTGAGCTTGTCGGCGAGCGTGCGAATATTGCCGATGTGCGTGCGCATAGAGACCTCGTCGGCCTTCCTGAATGATGTAAACTTGCCCCACATGGCAATGATGCTCCCCAAACCCGACGCCTGATGAAAATCGCGTAACCTCTCCCACATTCCGGCCGGGTCCTCGTCATAACCGCGAACGTGTGCAAACTGACCAGGGTCCAATCTCCGTATAATCTCCGCGGATGCCAGATCCCTCTTCGCGATCCATCCCTTGACCGCCTTCGAACCATCGCTCCCCACGGGCCGCGATTCCTTTCCCTCCACCAATGCCAAAACCTGCTTCCTCTTCAACTCCGCCCGAATCTCAAATTCCCACGAGTCATAATTCTCGTCGTCCAACTTCGTGAAACCTTTCTCTCCCATTCTAAATTCCGTGCCTCAGTACAATCGAGGGCTTCCGTTGCGCAAGTACAGTCTGCGGCTTCCGTGCTCCAGTACAGTCGGAGGCTTCCCGTGCGTCAGTACAGTCGACGGCTTTCGATGCGATGCTCCAGTACAGTCGGAGGCTTCCGAGACGATTAGATAATCAAGATAAGATAGCCGAGGGTGATGCGAATGATGGTGAACAGTGAAAGCTCGGGGCCCATAACCTGTTGGAAACCAGGTGCCGAGGACGAGGTCAGGGTGAGGGGGGGGTTAACAGAATGTATTCCACTACCAGTACCAGTACGTAGTGCGTCGAATATATACGTGAAAAGGAACAGAAATGAGACGGAAAATCGACTACGGCAAGGCGCGGCAAGTCAGTGATCGAGAAAATAAACAAATCTAAATATAGAGTTTTGGGCCTCGGCCGGTCATAGTGTTGCGTAAAAAACCTCCTGGTCAGATTTTGACCGGTAAGTTACCGACATGGGTATTGGGCCTGGTTTTGTGCAGGTTCCATACCGGTAATTTACCTAAATCACGTGGTCACGTGCCATTTTTTTGCGCAAGAAATCCTCAGTAAGACCGAGCCCTCTAGCGACAGTGGGGTAGACTCTACAAGGCGAGAACATAGTCGTCATCCTTCCCTTCCACTTCAGCAGCTTCGTCCGATGGCATCAATACCTCTTTCTCGACCTCATTGACTACCTTGCGTGTTGAGAGGACTGATCCCAGGGACTTTGACGACATATCAACGATGCCATCTGTCACGGCCTCAAGTTCTTCTGCTGACTCCGTTGGCTCGAGCGGTTCATCGAGCCATTTGTCATCGACGTCGTTTTCGTTTGGTGGATCTTCTTTCTCGGGCTTCTTCCTCTGGCTACCAGCCTTCGCATCAAAGCTCGCTGATGGATCAGGATTGGAGTGTTTGCGCGGCTAAAGAAAGCAGGGTTTCAGTGACTTGGAAGGCTCAAGGGAACCGAAACGGCCCTGGTAATTACCTTCTTTTCTGTCGCATAGTACTGCCGAATTTGAGTCATGGCCACCATCGAACCAACTGAGAGCTGTGAACGATATGCCGGAGTCATCCATGTAAAGGTCGAAACTGTCCGCTCTTCGGCCATCGAGTTGACACGGACAGCATGAATTTTGATCGCAAGAACCTAAGACATCAACATACATTGAAAGTGAGGGAAATCAACGAGCGACGCACTGGAAGGACATCTGCAAATTCTTGGCCCTCAATCGACCTCCACCAACCCATCACACCACTCGCGATGTTGTATGGTTGATTGTATGGGTATTGACGACGTGCGTACCTCTGAACTTCTTGAAGAAGTTGTTTCCTAAACCCTGTTCCCAAGCCCTTCCATTTCGTGAGGCTAGGTTTTGAACCATGCTGAATTTCGTCTGCAGCGGCACTTGAGAGAAAATTGACGACGCGCTTGAAGATGGTGGGGTAAAGAATACCGGTGTAGTCGACATTGTACGTAGAAGCAGGAACAGTCAATTCGCGCTTGAAGACATCCGAATCGAGATACACTTGTGAGAATTTCGTAGCAAGGGAAGTAAGGATAAAGAATAACTTTACACAAGAACGTCGCACGTACATGGATGGAGGTAGGTTCCTGAAAGATAGACATCTGCGCTGTCTGATAAATTCCCGTCGCCAAGGATCTGGTTGTGCCGATGGTTGAGTATGCCAATGATTTCGTTCTGAACATTGCGCGGGATAGCCTGGGCTGGATCACGCAGG